CTTTCTCTTCCCTTCCATCCCTCTCCATTCCTCCCCATTCAAATCCAGGCTATAGAATATTACCAAGGGCTCCTTTAACATTCTTTTGCCATGAAGTTAAAAAAATGGCTCCTACAGAGGAAAGGGTTAATTAAGACCATAGAGAAGAACAGTTCAGCAAGCATACTAGAGTTTCTGCCCCTGTAAAACATACCCAAAGATGATGGTGACTAGCTGGAGCCAGGGATTCCTGGAAAATAAGAACTTTACTTTTAGGACAAGGGACTTGAGATTTAAAGGAAAAGAAATGTTAGGGAAACTGAGCTGTAATTTTAGTCCTGGGGTCAGTTGGAAAAGGAGTGGAGAAGGTAGGGTCATCTTTGTAATGGACTGGTTTGGTTCTGTCTCAGGGTTACATGAATCTGTAGGTAGCTCATACCAACTCGCTAGAGCTAATGATTAAAAATAAAATTATAGACTGGGTGCGGTGGCTCACACCTGTAATCCCAGCACTTAGGAGGCCGAGGTGGGCGGATCACCTAAGGTCGGGAGTTCGAGACCAGCCTGACCAACATGGCAAAACCCCGTCTCTACTAAAAATACAAAATTAGCCTGGTGTGTCAACGCATGCCTGTAATCCCAGCTACTCGGGAGGCTGAGGCAGGAGAATCTCTTGAATCCGGGAGGCGGAGGTTGTGGCGAGCCGAGATCAAGCCACTGCACTCCAACCTGGGCAACAAGAGTGAAACTCCAGCTGTCATAGTGCCTTTTCTCACACTAGCATGCCAGGTACTGAAGTGGGCTCCTGGATATAGAAACGACCAAGGCGTCGCTGACCTCAGAGCTCATGGTGTGTTGAGGAAGACAATAAAACAAGAAACTACAGCAAACAGTGACAGGTGCTCACAGCAGTAGGGAGATTCTAGATGTCCTGACAATGTACATCACGACGGGGCAAGATATAGCCTTTCAAAGGAAGAGATACACCATCTAAGATACAACAAATAGAAGTTAGGTGAAAAGCAAAAGTAAAATTTTCCACAGAGTGAAATAACATATACGAGGTCTCAGAAGCTGGAGAGAATGTGACATGGATGAGGATCAGACCTCTATCCTGGCCCCAATGTTAGATCATAAATTATATTTGTTTACTTTCTGTTTTCTGTGAGATATTTGAGGGTAAGGACACTATCCAATTCTTTCGAAATCCCAAGTACCTTGTACATCGTCTGACATATTATTATCCAAAAAATACTCACTATGCACCAGTCACTGAAGTAGAACTGCTATCGGGTTTTAATAACATCCAGAATTATACTTATTTAGAAAGCATGTAACTTAAAACTATTTCCTGCCAATGGTAGGAAATTCTGAAAAAAATGATTTACAGTTTGAGAAAAGAGAAGTGGAGGAAACTATTGGCCGGTGTTTTTGAAAATTTTGGAACATCCCTTACACTTGCACATTAATATGTCTGTGAATTAACCTGTTTAAAAATGAATAAATAAAATGGATTAAATCGATTGTAGCTATGTGCTCGAATGCCTGTTTATGTCCATACATGTACAAATGTATATCCTCGAATTTCGCATTGAGGTTTATAAAGAAACACATTCTAAGTAAACATTAGCTATATATTCTCACACATGTGTACTCATAGAGATGGCCTAGCTCCTCCACCCCTTAATCACATCCTCAGTTTACCTTTCCCATTCCCTGCTTCAAGGCCTTATTTCTCATTTTCTCTAACCATCCCTTCCGATGTCACTTGCAAAGTTCACTGCTCTGGAACCACTTGTCGGTGCGAGGAGACCGGGTCATTTGGTGTGTGTGGGATGCGGGGGGAGTTGAAGGTATTGGCCAGATATACACTGATAAATACCTAGCAAGCATCTCTCCAAGTGCAGTTCTAACAGGAATTTTGGGTTTTAACTTATTTATGTTAACAAGTAAAGAGTCAGACAACAAAGAACCATACAGAACTTCATTTATTCATCAAGAACTTCACTTATTCAACAATGGCTCTAGTGACTTCTTTGGCAAATTGAACGATGGTCTTTAAATATAAAAAATAATCGTTTCTCAATTTTGTATGCTAATGTATTCACAATGTAATGGCTACAGACACAAAACACATTAAACTTTAATCAGTATTATTAACATTTCCTACATAATTTCATGAATTCTAGCCAATCAACATAACAACAAATGAGGGCCTGATTTCTGGGTGCTGTAAATTCCCCCACCATGGTTTACTTCAAGCTACCAATGCAAAGTAACTGAATACACGCCTGAGAAGAGATGAGCAGGGACACACTACTCCACAAGACTTCCACAGTACAGATGAAAAGCACAAATACCTTCAAGAACATAGATAATAGTAAAATGTAACAAGAGAAATAGGAATCCATTTGTTTTGAGTGTTTTATCTTTGTTGTTAATATAATCCATTTTATTGTAAGTTCATCTGTCACAGTCAAAGCTGCCTGATTGGACACGACTAGACGCTGGAAATACACTGCTGTAGGTTCTATTGTTAATAGTCTAAATACTCCAAGATGTCATTTAGCACAAGAAAAGAAAACTGGAAATAAAACTTGGGAGCAATGATTTTATGAAAGGTGTCCTATTTCATAAAAAGGACACAGAAAAAAACAGTGACTCTTTCTCTGCTTGATTCTATTCTTCCTGGTTGTAATTCCTAGAATGCTTATTATAGAGGAAAGCATCCTAACTACTGGGCTTCTTTCCCAGAGACTCTGAGGAAGCAAGCATCACCCCATTCCCTTTGAATTTCTCAAGGGTTAACAGTAAAATCATCCAACAATGTGCCATTACTTATAATGTCCACTGGAGGGCGATATACTACCGCTGGTACCACCTTCCACAGCCCAGCCTGCAAGGACTAACTTTAGTTAAACTTAATAATGTAATTACAAGTCCTCATAGCGCAGAACACCTAATACATAAAAGAAGCCTTTTCAGTAGATGTGAAGAGAAAGAGGAGAAGATGGAAATGGCACCAACCCTGGCTCCACCTCCCATTTCTTTACCTGTGACTCCAGGGCAGACCAGATTCCTAGGGTTCCTGTAATGCTTCCCCTCCATGCTGACATGTGACTAACAGGACACAGAGCTAATGGTTTCACCTAGAACATGGGGCGTCTCTTTTTAAATTTTTTTTTATTTTTTGAGATGGAGTCTTACTCTTTTGCCCAGGCTGGAGTGCAATGGCGTGATCTTGATTCCCTGCAACCTCTGCCACCCCGGTTCAAGCAATTCTCCTGCCTCAGCCTCCCAAGTAGCTGGGAGGATAGGTGCCTGTCACCGTACCCGGCTAATTTTTGTAGTTTTTAGTAGAGACGGGGTTTCGCCATCTTGTCCAGGCTAGTCTTGAACTCCTGACCTTGTGATCCACCCGTCTCTGCCTACCAAAGTGCTGAGATTACAGGGGGTGAGCCACCATGTCCGGCCATGACTGATCTCTTTAGGTTCCTGTGTTTCTCATCCTGGAGAGACGATGAGATTAGGAGATGAGTGTTATTATCATAACAATCTTAGAGAGGAGGACACCAAAACTGAGGCCCAAATAAGTTTATTAACTGACACAAGAATAAACTTACTAACTGGCCTCTCCTCTGGGCTCCCACATCACCCCACTTTTTCCTAGTCACACTGTTTGGAGGCTGACAGTTCTCTTTCTCATCCACTAGATGGAAGCGATAGGGCCTAGAGACTGTGTTTTTTGGTTCGTCGCTCTATCTTAGCATGAAAAAAAGTGCCAGGCACCTGGGATGCATAAAGTGGAGGAAGGCTAGCAGAGAATAGGGTATGAGGTGGGAGAGAATGAGATTCTCCCTCATCACCAGCAAGGATGAGTGAGGACAGGCAAGAAACAGTGGATGTTGTCTGATAAGTCAGTTAGGAGGAGAAAGGTTATGCAGCACCCTACGGACTTACCTCCTGTTCCTCCTACCCTGTCACTGGATTGATCTAAATCTCACTTTAAGTGCCACAAAAAAAAAAAAAAAAGCACCTGAGAGGATATCCATGAAAGTGTCTAAATCCTAGGATTGAGTTCAATCATGACCCTTGGTTCTATTCCTCAGTATCCTCACCTAATAATAGCAATCATCACAGCAAATTCTTGAGTGTCTGCTGGGCACCAGCCACTGTGCCAGCAGATTGCACACACATCCTCATTTCATTCTCACAAGGAAGATGATGGTGGTGTTTTACAGATTTTTTTTTTTTTTTTTTTTTTTTTTTTTTTTTTTTTTTTTTTTTTGAGACAGAGTCTCCCTCAGTTGCCCAGGCTGGAGTGCAGTGGCGCCGTCTCGGCTCACTGCAACCTTCCCCTCTAGAGTTCAAACAATTCTGCCTCAGCCTCCTGAGTAGCTGGGATTACAGGTGCCCACTACCACACCCGGCTAATTTTTGTATTTTTACAGATTTTACAAAACTGGACAGTAGTATGTAGAAGAGTTGGGTTTTCAGCCCAGGCTCAAATGCCAAGCCCTTGCTCTTTCCTTGAAGTAAGAGATGCCTGAAGCATGGCACACTGGCCACTGTCATTCATGGCTCACAAATATTCATTTACAATTTTGAAGTGCAGGACATACTTTTGTGCAATAGAAAAAGGACAGCTAATACATAAAGTAACATTAACTTTAAAGCCTCCTTTGGAAATGCCGGGAAAAACACTGACTTCCAGCAACCTGTGGTAAAACCTCCCAAAGACCCCCTTAAACACCTCTTCCTTTCCCCTATACTCCTTGCTGGATCCAAGGCGCTCGTTGCTTTTCTTTCTCTTCATTTCTTTCTCAGTCACCCCCTTCACCAACAGCTTGTTCTTCCTCAGGGTTTAGCCCCTCTCCCATTCCTTCTCACCAGCACAGCACTTAATCTGTTTTCACTTTGTTGAAAAGGTAAACCAAGTTAAACAATTCTAATGAAACATGTACCGAGGAGACACAGACAGCAAATAAAATATGGAAAGATTATCCAGGCAGCTGGTACAACAATGCAGACATTTATTTGAAGTTTGCGCCTTTGAGCTATTATTATTACACTGAAAGTTGGGAAAAAGCTAAACATCCATCAGAGAAGGTTGATTATATAAATTATGAAAGATCCATAATTTTTAATTCTATGAAGCCATAAAATGATAATATTGATATGTATCATTGAACCCACCACTGAGGTTTGATAAAAATTTCAAATATGAAGAATTACATATAAATTAGAGCTGATTTTGTAATATACAGCATAGAAATACATACTTTTCTATTTATTAAATGTTTACTAATTTATGAATACTTAACACATGTATAAGATAGGTATTTAGAAAGATTAAAGAGGGCATACAACACATAGACGTTTCTCATTCCTGTCTCCCATCTCCCTTCCCAGAGACAGTTTCTAAATCAAAACAGAGAAAAACACTAACATCATTTGTTTAGTAAGAGCAATGAGGTATGCAATACTAATGAATCTTAAAATATATCATATTAAAAACACTAACTGAATATCTAAGTAGTGAAAACGTGAATGTTTGTCTAAAACACCCACATGCGCACACACACACCATAACGAGTGGAAGACGTCCTGGCAACATGTTTACAAACGGTTTGTGTGTTGCCGTCCTACACACCAGACGCAAAGCGCTGAAAACAACAAGCCTGTTCACAATAGCACCAGGAACGTACAGTACGCGGGAATCATCGGCAGGTGATTTGTGACAACCGTACGCAGAACAGTAAAAGCGAGAGATACAATCAACGGATGGCTGGAAAAAGCAGAGACACTCTTCTTGCTAATGGGATTGCAAGGTTAATGTTGTACACAAGATTAAAGTTGTGTTCAAGGTTTGGAACGTCAGCGAGTTCACTGAAAACTAGCGGAGGGGAAGGGCAAGCCCTGGAAGGGAAACCACGGTTTGACCAGGCCAGAAACACCTCGCTCACAGCGTGTGATCTGTGCAGGTAGCCGGAGGCTCCGCGCAGGGCCGCCCGGCCGGCCGGTTTCGGGCGTGCTTGCGCTGTTCCTCTCTGCGCGGACAGTCACTGTTGCTGTTCGCGGGGACAGGCAGGGGCTGACTGGGAGGACGTCTTGGGGATGGCCTTGCGCTCCTCGGCGTCCTCCTTCTCCGGGTCGCCCCCGCCGACCTCCTCGATGACCACGCTGCGCACGGTGCCCTCGTCCAGGCAGTGCGGGGCGACGCCGTAGACGCGGGGGTCGGAGACGGCGGCGTGGAAGCTCTGCACCCCGCACCTGCTGCAGAAGCTGTGCAGCGCCGGGTGCGTGTTGGAGCGGTAGGTGACGATGCTGTCCGCGCCCTGGAGCAGCGTGAAGCGCGAGGCCGGGACGAGGAAGTGGCGGTGCTGCTTCTTCCTGCACAGCCTGCAGCTGCAATCCACGACGCGCAGATCCGCGGGGGCCCAGACCGCAAAGCGGACCGCGCCGCAGTGGCAGCCCCCGGTGTGATGGACGAGGCCCGGGTACTCGAAGGTGTCCAGCAGGACCTTGGCGGCGCCCTCGCAGCTGAGACCCCACAGCTTCCTGAACTTCTCCCAGCGCTCCCGCTGCGTGCCCAGGTCCAGGTCCTGGGGGGACTCGGCTGGCGCCGGCGGGTCCGGGGGCGGCGTGGAGGGCACCGGTTCTCTGGGGCGCTTCTCTCTGACCCGACGCCACCGGCGCCTCCGCCGCGACCTTCCCAGCCACCTCCTGGCCGCCAAGTGACTCACGACCCCGAATCTGACACGGGGGCACTGCGCGCGGCTGGCGCCCATGACTGCGACGGCCGCGCAGGCGGCGGGAGGATCCCCGGGCCGCTTTCGCCTCCGCTGCTGAGCGCGGTTCCTGACTCTGCCCATGGCGCCTGCAGCCTCCGGAGCGCGTGCCCACGCCCCTACCCCCATTTCCTCGTCAGTCACTGAGCAGCCTCCTTGTCTGCGCCGGCAGGATTGGCCACTTGTTGAATGTGATGTAAAGAGACCCTTCCCTTGACCCTATCACAACAGCCTTTGCTGGCCTGAAATTCTGACTGAGCCTATCGGTTGCCCCTTCTCCTAAGTGTTATTTTCTATTGTTGATTCAAATCATCAGCCTAACCTTAACATATTGAAACACTGAAAATACAGTAGACCTGTTAGTTAGCATGCAGTAGTAGGTAGATCAGCTTAAGAATTATTCATCTACTATAGAAGAGGCAGAGTCATACATAAAGCCTTGGGAGGTGAGAATGTGTGGTGTTTAAGTAGTTGTACCAAAGTTGAGTGTAGTAAAAATGACGACCCACAGTAGTATGTTCCATCAGTGAACGCAACCAGAGAAACTGAATGTTAACCTCAATACAGATGAAAAAAAGTCACGTATTTAAATCCATCTTCTAAGGACAAGAGGTAAAAGAAGAAACCGTACATTTATTTTTGCATCTGTGCCAAGAGCAAATTAATAGATCTGGCAGGCATGAATATGAAGGGAAGACTTCGTTCTTAGGAGATTGATTTGGTTGATCGATGGGCATGGTCAGAGGAGAGACCCCACAAAACAAGCACAGATCCTCTTTCCTAGGGTGCAATGAGCACCGTGGAAAACAGTGAAGAGTCTTAGGAGAGCTGCTTCTTGTGAGCTAAGTAGTAACATCCACACACATAGGCTTTAAGCAGAGATACATCCATCTACTCACAACATAGATTCAATGATGTCGTATGTATCTATATGCATGCATATGTGCATACATTTGTTCAAAAACATTTAAAGTAAGATACATACATTAATGTCATGTTGTCTCAATTTTTCAGCACTCACATTCTAGGAATAAAGACATAATTTCTTCTTTTTGAAGCTCAAGATGATGTATTTACTTATTTTGGTAAGTTCGGTGGTACATGTGCAGGTTTGTTACATGGATATGTTTGCGTAATGGTGAGGTGTGGCGTTCCAGTGTACCCATCTCCCAAAGAGTGAACATCGTCCTCAGATGGTACTTTTTCAACTCTCATTTTCCTTCCACCCTCTCTGCTTTTGTAGTCCCCGTGTCTATTATTTCCTTCTGTGTCTGCATGTGTACCGATTGTTTGGCTCCGACTTAAGGGTGAGAATTTACTTTTCTGTTTTTGAGCATTTTATTTAGGATAATAGCTTCGAGCTCCATCTATGTTGCTGCAAAATACATGATGCCATTCTTTTTTATGGCTGTGTAGTATTCCATGGTGTATATGTAGCATAGTTTTCTTTCTTCAATCATCTGTCAATGGACACAAAGTCCATGACTTCACTATTGTGAATAGTGCTGCAGTAAACATAACGGTGCAGGTGTCTTTCTGATGTAACGATTTCTTTTCCTGTGGGCAAATACCCAGTAGTCAGATCGCTGGGTCAAATGGTAGTTCTAGTTCTAATTCTTTAAGATTCTCCATACTGCTTTCCATAGAAGTTGTACTAATTTCCACCAACAGGATATAAACGTTTTCTTTTATCTGCGTCCTTGCCAACATCTGTTATTTTTTGGCTTTTTAATAGCCTTTCTGACTGCTGTGAAATGGTCTGTCTCTCCTTGTGGTTTTAACCTACATTTCTCCCATGATTAGCAATGCTGAGCATTTTTCAAGTATCTGTTAGTCGTTTGTATGTCTTCTTTTGAGAAATGTCTGTTCATGTCCTTTGCCCACTTTTTAATGGGGTTATTTGGGTATTTTTTTAATTGTTGATTTGTTTCAGTTCCTTATAGATTCTGGATATTAGTCCTTTGTCAGATGCATTGTTTGTGAATATTTTCTCCTGTTCTCTAGGTTGTCTGTTTACTCTGTTGATTTGCTTCTTTTCCTGTGCAGCAGCTCTGGAGTTTAAGTCCCATTTGTCTATTTTTCTTTTTCCTGCATTTGCTTTTCAGGTCTCAGTCATAAATTCTTTGCCTAGGCCAGTGTCCGGAAACGTTTTTCCTAGGCTTTCTTCTACGAGTTTTATAGTTTCAGGTATTATGTTTAGGTCTTTTAATCTATCTTGAGTTAATTTTTGTGTGTGGTGAGAGATAGGGGTCCATATTCTTCTGTGTATAGTGCTAATTTTCCCAGCATCGTTTGTTGAAGAGGGTGTCTTTTCCCCGTTGTTTATTTTTGTTGCCTTTGTTGGAGATCAGTTGGTTATAGCTATGTACCTTTACTTCTGAGTTCTCTGCTCTGTTTCATTGATGTGTCTATTTTTCTACTTGTATCATGCTGTTTTAGTTACTATACCCTTGTAGTTATAGTTTGAAGTCAGGTAATGTGATGCCTTTGGCTTTCATCTTTTTGCTTGTGACTGCTTTGGCTATTCAAACTCTTTTTTGGTTCCATATGAACTTCAGAATGTTTTTCAAATTCTGTGAAAAATGATATTGGTCATTTGATAGGAATTACATTGAATCTGTAGATTACTTTGGGCAGTATGGTCATTTTCATGATATTAATTCTTCTAATCCATAAGCATGGGATGTTTATTTGCATTTTTACTGTTGAGTTTGAGTTATTTGTATTCTGAATTGTATTTCTTTGTTAGATACACGGTTTGTTAATATTTCCTTCTAGTCTGTACTTATTTTTTCATCCTCTTCACAATGGTCTGAGAACTTTTTAAAATCACACAGATTTTCTCATTTTTTTTTCCTCAAAGTTTTAACATGATCCACTTTCAATTAATTATTGTTATTATTACTTTTTTGAGACAGGGTCTAGCTCTGTCACCCAGGCTAGAAGGCAGTGGCCCAATGTCTGCTCACTGCAACCTCAGACTTCTGGAGCTCAGGTGATTCTTGCACCTCAGCCTCCCAAGTAGCTGGGATTACAGATACACACCACCATGCTTGGCTAATTTTTGTATTTTTTGTAGAGACAGGGTTTCACCATGTCACCCAAGCTGGTCTTGAACTCCTGAGCTCAAGCAATCCACCTGCCTCAGCCTCTGAAATCGCTGGGATTACAGGCGTTAGCCAAAGCACCCAGCCCAGTTTCAGTTAATTTTTATATAAGGCGTTAGGTTTAGATCAAGCCTTTTTTTTCTCTTCTTACTTTCTGTTTTTTTCCCCCCATGGGAATGTCCAATTTCCTCAGCACCATTTTATTGAAAGAGTTATCCTTTCTTCACTCCTGTAATTGCTTTTCCACCATTGTAAAAAATCAGTTGAGCATATTTATGTCAGTCTATTTCTGGATTCTCTATTCTGTTTCATTGATCTGTGCATCCATACCTGTACCAATACCACACTATCTTGACTAATGTAGCTATATAGTAAGCCTTATTATCAGATAGCATAATTCCTCAAATTTCGTTCTTTTTCAAGATTATTTAAGCTATTCTAGGACCCATGTCTTTCCATGCAAATTTAAGAATAAGCTTTTCTGTGTCTACAAAAACTTTACTGGGATTTAGATAGAAATTGCATTAAACCTGGAGATCAATTTGTGGAGAACTGACATCTGTACTGTATTGAGTCTTCCAATCAATTAACAAGTGTACTTCATCATTTATTTACTTCTTTGATTGTTTTCATCAGTATATTGTAATAATGTTCAACATACAAATACTATCCACGCTTTGTTAAATTCATACAAAATCACATAGCCTCGGTGACTTAAACAACAGAAATTTATTTTCTCACAGTTCTAGAGACTGGAAATCAGAGATCATGGTAAAAGCATTGCCAGATTCTGGTGAGGACTCTCTTTCTGTGCTCAGATGACTTTCTCTATGCATGCACAGAGAAGAGGTAGGGGGGAGAGAGAGAGAGACAGAGAGAGAGAGAGAGAGAGAGAGGAGAGGGAGAGAAACAAAGAGAGAGATCCCTTTCTATTCCCATAAACCTAGGAATCCTATCAAATTAGGAACCCATCATTATGACCTCATTTAACCTTAATTATCTCCTAAAGGCCTCAGCTCTAAATATACTTGCAATGGGGATTAGGGCTTCAACATATGAATTTGGTGGGGAGAGGACAGAATTCAGTCCATAGCACGAAGTAATTTGTTTTCTTTACAGTAATTGTAAATGATACTGTGTTTTTAATTTGCTTTCCTCATGTTCACTGTTACTATAAAGAAATAGGATTAATTGTAATGTGTTGATCTTTTATCTTGTGACATGGCTGGATTCACTTACACTAAGTGCTAGAATTTTTCTCTTTATTGATATTAGGACTTCTTGCTAGACTCCTTGGAAATTTATACATAGACAATCATGTCATCTGCAAATAGAGATAGTTTTATTTTTTTCCTAATTTGTATAACATTTTAAAAATCTTGCTTAGTAAAAGTGGTGAGATCTTAAACCCTTGCCCTGTTCCCAATCTTAGGGGAAAACATTTAGTCTTCATCATTAAGTATATTAGCAGTTTTCCTGTAGATGTTCTTTAGCAAGTTTCAGTATTTTTTGGCTTTTGTCAAACTCTCTTTCTTCATCTATTGACAGGATTTTTCTTTATTTGCTTCTGGTGTGTTGAATAACACTGATTGACTTTTGAATGTTGATCCGGTAGCCTTGAAACCCTGGAATAAATCCCAGTTTGTCATAGGAATATTTTTAAATATATTTTTGGGTTCATTTGGTTAGTGTTTGTTGAGGACTTTTGTATCTCAATTCATGAGAGATATTACTCTATAGTTTTCTCTTTACATTGACTTTGTATGGTTTTGGTATCAGGGTAATACTGGCCTCATAAAGTGTTTGGGGAGCTTTTCTTCCTTTTCTGTTTTCTCCAGGAGATTGTTTAAAATTGGTATTAATTTTTCTTTTAAAGATTCACAATATTCCAGTGAATGTTGATTATAATAAGAAAATGAAAAGATATGGCTTTGGAGATTGCTTTTTATCAGGAGCTTTTAATAAAAGATACTTCTTTTTAATTGTTAGGGCCCTTCAGAGGACCAATGG